GGGTGAGCGAGTAATTTTTTGGGGGCCCACATGAATGAGTCCACATTCTTTGGATTTACACGTAAAGTGTCCACCCGGATATTGTCCCACCCCGTTTAATCCTGGCTACGGCATTGCAAGTCGGGCCACATTTTCTCGCCCCCGGCAGCACAATTCTCCGAATTCTTCTGATTCAGTCTTCATTGTTCCTCAATTCAATGTGAGATCTTTAAACATAATAAATGTAAATCTTATTGTATACCCAATAAATAATCTCGTTGTCCATAAAAAATAAAAAGAGATAAAAAATATAATAATATATAACCACTTTCTAACCACGTAAATTCCAGCTTTTAAGTATCATAAAATTTAGATCGTATGCTTAGACTACAATGTACCTCTATGCTAGACCCTTAAATTTGCTACCAGGTAATTTATGGATAGGTCTAACCGCCGTATATAAATATTAATACCTGTGTCTTATGATTGGAAGATTTGATAATTATGTTTCTTATTAGCAATTAAGCTTGTTTTTGACTGGGATATAAAAAGACATTACTAATTTAAGACTACTTTACTGTTTTATCTACCTGAGCCTCTGTAACCGTTTATAATACTACGATCGTACATGTAGCGATATGCATTGCCATTGTTGCACTGGTTCTGGTATCAGTGGTGGATGCAGGAATTTGAGTAGAAGGCGCCCATGGAGGAACTTCGACTTTTTAAATATGTTGGTCAACATAGCTTGATTTAAGGTGTAAAATGGGTGCCAACTTTTAAAATGTTCCATATTATTCAGTTTATATGCATTTGTTAGATTTTATGTGTACACAATTTAGTACTTGCCCCTCCCTGTCATATATTTGATTTAATATTGAACATCTTATCTGTCAAATTAAGGCCCTTTGAAAACTTTATTCTACCTCAGCAACAGCCATGGGGCTAAGGATGTGGACTTTCCAGATGCCTATCCTTCCTTCTACTTCTTACAACAAATAAATCTTGTTTATTATAATTAAAATTAAGAACCTTGAAAAAAAAATTGTTTTAAGTCCGAGAGTGCCATTTCCAGATATTCAAAGTTGCCAAACCCTTATTTTTTCAACTTCAATCCCAACCTAGTTGGGGCTGAGGTAAATGTGACCTCACTTAGTGAGACAGTACAGTACTGCACAGTACTTTCTTTTGCTCTGTCAAAGAAAACTT